GCCAGAGCCGGCCCGCTCGCCTGTTCCCAAGGCCCCGCGGGTGGGCCGGTTTCTGGGCGGAGGACTCGCTTAGGCATGAAATCGAGCGCGATGGGGGCCGGGAAGGCCCCCTTGTCCTTTTTCCTTCCTATGAATGAAAGCCATGGTGGGGGAGGAAGCGGCCAAGCCAGTAATTAGACTTCTTTAAAGTCTGAAGTTGATCGAAGAGCAATACCGACAGTGGTTTTTAATAGAGAAAGAGAAACGCTTTACTATACGCACTTACTTATCCCTGTGTGGGCTGCAAAAATGTGTACCAAAGAGCTGCAGCGGTTTCTCTCAAACTTGGCAATAGTTGGCTGTTTCTCAAACTTGGCTATGCTGTCTGGGGAATTCTGGGAGTTGAAGTCCACACATCTTAAAGTTGCCAAGTTGGAGAAGCCCCGAGTTGCAGAAAAGTCTTTAACGCTTTGCTGCCTTGTAGAGATCCGGATTTATGCAGTAGAGATCTGGTAGCCCTATACACACTTAAGCGCAAACCACACATGCCATGTTTGGAGTTAGACTAGTGCTTGAACCCAACTCTTGGGGATTGTCAGCCGTAGTCTCTGGTTTAATGTGTTTTGGGGACCCAGCAAGTTGTGATTTACTCAGTAAGTCATGTTTAAGTGAATCATGGCTTGGTGTAATATATGTAAGTCAGGCCCATAAATCAAAGCCCATTGAATTGGGTAAGTCTTAAATATTGTAAAATAAATAAAATATTTGGCCTTCTCATAAAGACTCTGGATACATGGCCCTCTCCCCTACCTCCTTATTTTTAATGCTCGTAAAATCTGGATCTATATTGTTGTAATAGAGAATGAAAGAGAAAAAAAAAACAATTCTGTCATATTAGTGATTTCAAAGTAAGTTTTAAGAAAAAGGACAATAATATTGTTTACCAGACAAATGGAGGAAGAAGAGTTCAAGTAAGAGATTAAAGTATATCAAATGAAGACATTTTGGGGTACAGTAGCATAGAAATACCATAAATAAATAGTTATAATAAGTAAAATGTTTTGCTTGGCACCTAAAAACCAGTAAAGTTGGCATTACATGTAACTTCCAATGAAGAATATTCTATAGTGAGTAACATGATATGGGAAGAGCGGGTTTCTTCCTTTTAACTAAATTCAGTTTTGAACAGCTTATTTAAAGAAAAAGTATCAGCCAATAGGATTTAGGCAAACAAGAGAAGACATACCCTCATATACGTTTGTGTCTCAAGCTTTTAAATGTGAACAGTAGCATGTTGACAAGATTAAAAGGAATTAGTGGATTCTTTTCTTTAAACAAATATTATTTGTTTAGCATAGCCAATTATTATTGATGGTTATGTGGCTATAGGAGATCCAGTTTGGCCTAGTGGTTAAGGTACTAGACTAGAAACTGGGAGACTGTGAGTTCTAGTCCCGTTTTAGGCACAAAGTCAGCTGGGTGGCCTTGGGCCAGTCCTTCTCTCTCAGCCATAGGAAGGCGGCAATAGCAAACCACTTCTGAAAAATCTTGCCAAGAAAACTGCAGGGACTTGTCCAGGCAATCACCAGGAATCAACACTGACTCGAAGGCACACACGTGCACATGGCTGTAAATTGAGTCTCCTTCATTCAGGTTAGAACTTAAGCACTGTACCATATAGTATTTATCATCTTGTGCAGAACACATTGTACTCAGCTAAAATTAGCTTGGAGGAACCTGTACTTCCGCCTGCTGTGAGTATTTAGCGATTGTCTTTGCCTGTTGTGTGAATCAGGCCATCACATTAAACTATAATATGGGCATAGCATGTTATATGAAGATTATAAACTATAATATGGGCATAACATGTTATATGAAGATAGTGACTGTGGTTCATAAAGGTGATTTTAAAATGTTTCATGAACTCAGCCAAAGTGTCTTAAGGGGTCCTAGAGCAAAAGAAGAAATGAAATGGCAAGTTAAAGAAAATAAATGGGTTTTTTTTGCTTACTGAGCCAATAGCAGAAAGACTATTGATATTTTAAGGAACTTAGGCACTAACTATTTGATATGTGTTGCAAGAGAAGAAGATAAAGAGGTAATCACTGGATATTTGGTTCAGTTTCAAGAGGGAGAAATGACAGAAATAGCCAGGGTGGTTACTATACCTCATGGAAAAACAAAACTGCCTCCCTATATTCTTCTCCAAGATGACTGTGTTCAGTTGAGATTCCCTTCCTTGTGGTGTTATAAGGAAAGAAATGAGATGAGATTTTCTCTCACTTAAAATTTAGGATTGTATAAATTGTAAGTATCTGTTGTTCCTTGGTATGTGTCATAGTCATTAATCCTACATAGATTCCTATCAGGCTGGATGAAGTCTTGGTCGTTGTAAATTGAATTTAATGTGATTTTATATTAAGAGCTGCTTTAAAATGTTGCTGCTTCTCTTGTCCATGCATTGTTCTGTGAGCTCTATACAGTAATAGTAAAGGAAGCTTGCAGTCTCCTTTTATGAGAACTTGATTCATACTAAACCATATGACTAAGCAGCAGATTTCTTGTGTACCTTTTAAAAAAAAAATAGACTTATATAAACTGTACTGTGTGGTTTGTACTGAGGTAACTTTTCCAGGTCTCTGGAGTTGTACTGAGGTAACTTTTCTAGGACCTTTTGAGTATAACTGGCAAATACATGAAGGTCTGTCATTGAGCTAGACCATTTTATTAGGTGCATCATATCCTATTCACCTTATCTATCAGATGAATATAATGAAATATTGAATATCACTTAGAGGCATTGTGCTGTCTCTTAACTCTTTTCATGACATTTAAACCAGGCCAAAATGAACATTGGTGTTAATTTGTGCATCATAACTAAGTAGATATTTTTGAAAGAAGAAGCTTAAGGAACTAATGTTTGTACCTTCAAAACATACATTTTAATATTAAAATGTCATGTTGCTATATAAATGGTCTTAAAAGTATCTTAGGGTTCTCTGTAGCTTATAATATCATTCAGCACAAAGAACTATGA